ACCAGATCATCATTCTTTTTCCATTATCACAGCAAACATTCAGTACTGTTGTATTTTTCTACTTTAGCATTTTTATTGTATAGGTGTTTTGTAAGTACATCTTAGAAGAATTATTGGTGATTGCATTTTTGTCAATTTTCTTATAATGATTTCTTTTAAACTTAAATCAAAATCTGACAATTAACCTACTGGAAATTGAAAAATGTCTTGATCAATGTGTTCAAATGAGTTTTAAAAAATTTAAATTCTCTCTCTCCCTCTCTCTCTCACTCTCTCTCTCTCTCTCTCTCTCTCTCTCTCTCTCTCTCTCTCTCTCTCTCTCTTTCTTTCTCTCTCTGAATCACTCACTCTATCTTTCTCAAGTTACAATTGTCTGCCGTAATTTATTTTCTCACCGTTACTTCTAACATCTCTATCCCTCTCTCTATTTCCCCGTCCTAGTCATACTTTTGTTCTCCCTCACTTTCTTTCTCTTTTTCACTTTATCGATTTATCTAAATACATATCTATCGATTTTTGGCAACAATTCTGATGCTGTTTGCTGATGATGGGCTCCTTATGTATGTTTTCGTCTTTATACAAGTATGTACTTCTTTTCAATATAAGAGAGATCCGCCTCCTTTCTGTTTTATCTCTATACCATATTCTTTCTTGCATCAATTCGTGTTTTGATCTCTGTTACTTACTTCTTTGTAAATATTTTTTCCTTTTTTTACTTTTTTGTTCGTTTTGTTCTTTCGATCCCTTTACCGTCTTATTCACATTGTCTATTTATTTATTTCGTTCTGTTTGTGCATATTATTCGAATTTATAACCATCAATTCAGCTCGTAGATTCATTTATGACTTGATTCTGTTGCAGGGAAATTATACAGAAAAAACTAGTAAAAACAAAAATAAGAAATATTTATAGTTATTTTGGTCTGCACTGTTTATTTTCTTGACCCGAGTGCATCAAAAGTTGTTGAAAAATTAAGGTAAAAATTGCAAATAATAATAAAAAATATAAAAGTTGGAGTGACAATTGCCGAAAGAAGCGGTCGGTATAAGCGTAGGAACTCGTCTCGTAAAAAAAAGCCTTATCTTTCATCACCCGACGATCAAGAAATCTTAAACAAACCTCAAACCACAAAACAGATCGAACAACAACGTTCTCTAGTTTGTTTTCATCGTTATTTTACAAACAAATTGACACTCTTTCTCCACCGGGAGCAAACAAACACATTTAAATTATGTTGTAGGCAAAACAAAGTTATTAAGTTTTAATTGTAAGAATGTGTGGTGATAGTGACCGTTAGTCGATGATTATTCGGAAATCGTGAGATGCGGTCTGGTGTGAAGTAGGTTTTAGAAAAACATTTTCTTTGTAGTGCCAACGTTTCGACCTTTATTGAGATCATCTTCAGGGCTCAAAGTATTTTCAAGGCAAGAATCGCACATTACGCATAAAACAAGCACGTCCGCATCTCACGATTTTAATTGTAAGGATAAGGAAGGATAAACCAAGCATAATTGTTAAAAAATTCAAACTTTGCCATCACAAGTACTTCCTTTGTGAAAGACGATTAAAAATAATGACTGGCTGTTAAAGTTCAATTTTTTTCTACTTTCAAAAAACTAAATAAAATCAGTACTTCAATGACAAATAAAATGTATTAAAAAATGAATACAAGATAACAAAAATTTCAATAAACTATCTTTAACATAAGGAAATAAGCATATTATAATTATTATTATTAATGACATTCTGTATAAATTATACATTCAACCAATCTTTAAATAACTAAAAGGCGACAGTTTCGAACTTACAATTTATTTGATAGTACGATCCAAATTAATGTTTTAATTAAAGAATTGTTTTACCTTAAACTCAATTAAATGCCCGGACTCTTAGAAGATTCAATCGGTTACTTCTGTGTTTGTCTGTCTCTCACTCTCACCCTCTCACTATCACTTTCTCTCTCTCTCTCTCTCTCTCTCTCTCTCTCTCTCTCTCTCTCTCTCTCTCTCTCT